GGGGTTGGGTGAAAGCAGAAAGCAACAGATCCCAGTCTCAATGTACAGTTTTGATAAGAAATTTGTGCTAAACCTTTTAATGAAATTGGTTTGCTCTATTGGCTTTCTATTCGTTTTCTGCGATGTGATTTCTGTGTAATCATAATTTTGGCCCACCCTGTATATAAAAAGAAAACATTTAGTGTCCCGTGTTTTAAGGCGGTATCGAGAACCTATTGCAGTCCGAGATTCTAAACAACAAAAGTAACAACTTTCTACTGTTAGTGTTTGCTCACAAAGAATTTATCATAGATACTTTCAAGGCAGGGCTTGGAATCTCTCCTCTCTGAACATCGAATGGCATTTGAAGAAGTAAAAAAATAGTATGCTGCTTGCAAAAACATGGCCCGTACAGGGTTTCAAACGATTACATAACTTTTTCTCTTGAACTCCAGCTGAAAATTTGCGAATTATACAGAAGTATTTTATCTCGGTAACAGGCGTACCATTTACTAAGAACAGCAATACCTGATATACACTTTCCATCATTTTGAAAATCCGCTGCCACTCGAAAGAAATTTGGTGTCGAATGTTCAGAACCTCCTGAGAAGTGATACGATGAACTGTTCACCTAGTTTCTGAAATTGTTAGATTCTCCATTTTCCTCTACTTTCAATAGAAGCGAATTCCTCCTGGTTGTAATTATAGCGAGCTTTGCTAGTGCGTACCCTAAGGAGTTCGGTGGATGGAGGACTGCGAATTAAACTTCTCAGGAATTTCAGGACACCAGTAAAGCTCGGCGATCTATGTTGGTCCATATGGCATAAAGGATAAAGGATATAGTTTTGGGGCGTTAATCAATCCCGTCAGAGGGACGCGCAAACTCATTCGACTTCCATTCAGAATCGTAGCGGCCTATAAATGCGTATGAGGCCTATAGAATAACCTGCGGTGGCCAGCCGATGTGCAAGTTAGTGCTTTTACCCTTCGAGACGAGACTGGTGCTAATAAATTGACCCCGCGGGATGAAAGGGGCACTTGGTATCGGTGTACGGCTAAATTCATTTATTTTGAAGAAACTGAGAAATGCCATGGTGAATTCTCAACTAATGTTGGCTACTCCACGTTTTATTAACTTCCTTCAATAGAAGCGTGTGCCTCCGGATTATACAGGGTGGGCCAAAATTGTGATTACAGCGCGCTGACGCTCACAACGAATTTTTTCTGAGGTCATCGCAATTCGTTCGCTTTCTTCTATTTCAAAAGTTAAATTACATTATTACCTTCCCGATGACACTAAACTTTTGGTAGCTTTTGTAAATGATGTAGGCGTAATCATCCCGTGAATAAATCGTCACTTTGCATTTACAAGCACTTTTGGCACGGTGCGTCTACAGACGACTCAGCGCCACAGGGCAGGGGTATATTCGATCATAAGACGCTTTAG